CCTAATATCATTGGTGGATGATGTGGGAAAGAAGCCAAAATTCATGAATTGAAGGAATGAATTTAAGGCAATAAAAGAGCAACAATAAGAGTCAACTCTTGGTTGGTAGCTAGAAGGAAATGGTAGGCCAAGTGGTACATGTTTGTAAGATGGGAAAAAAATCAAACATGTTGTTACAACATTGGAAAGAATACTTTTGAGAAGGTGAGGGAAGAATGAAGGGGATAAGCATGGGAGAAAGATAAGGAGGGAGAAGGGAGAGAGAATGTGTGAACAATAGTGTAAGGATAATTGATAAGACAAGAATGACAGGATTCAAAGTGAAGGTGAAAGTTGTCTTCAGAGAGAAGGGAAATAGTGTGAATGATATGGCAATGTGGAAAAAGTGCCTGCTAATTTATGTTTGTTCAGAGGGTGCAGTTCACAGAGTCATCACAATGACTCAGATTTTCTCTGTGAAATATATGGTACGAATATTTGCTGAGAAAGGAAGAGGGGATAGAAGATTCAACAGTGAAACCAGTGGTTGTGGAGGATGGATGAACAGGTGAAAGATATACAGGACTTCCTTGGAGTATAGTAGGCTCCTTTTGAAAAAAAATTTAAAATATGTTTTTATTATTTTAGAGAGAGTGAGGAAGGTAGAGGGATAGACAGCTAGAAACATTGATCGGCTGCCTCCTGTATCCACCCTACTGGGGATCAAACCCACAACTCAGGAATGTGCCCTGACTGGGAATTGAACCCAGGACCTCTTGGTTCATGGGTCAATGCTCAACAACTGAGTCATAGTAGGTGGGCATAGTAGGCTCCTTTAAATGGGAAAGAATACACAAGGGGTTTATGGAAGATGGAAGAAGAGGTGAGTATCTGTAAGGAAGAGAACTTTCTATGTCTAAAAAAATTGTAAAAAGAACTTGATAAATCTAAAGTACTTGTATTTCTTAGTAATCATTGCCATGAATTATCCCATGCAATGATGGCTTTTCATCCCTGTTTTTACAGTTGGTGGAGGGTGCTGAACATATCAGGCAGCCTCCTTAAGTCTAAAATGCTAGCTAATACTTCCATTTAATTCTTAAATATGTACATTATTTCTGCCCATTTTTGCCTTTTTGTTGTGTGGTGCTGAGTGACTATGAGCTAGAGGTAGATGAAAAGGTAAGATATGTGGGACTGAGTGTAATGTGAATTCTTGCTTCAGATCATTGATTCTTTCTTATTTAGTTAAATATGCATGGCACACGGCAGGTGTTTAATAAGAGTGCTAATGTGGGATTCTAAAGATGGCGGCTAGCAGGATGGAGGTGAGGGAGAGAATGTGAGTGAGTGAGGGTGTGAAAAGGGATGTGTGGATGTGTGTGGTGTGTGTGTGAGGGACAGTTAAATTCAGTAGGAGTATCAGAGGCTGGCAGACCAGGCTCTCCTGGATAGAGAGCACCTACCACTGCTTTGGGAACTCCTCAGGCTGTGGGGCTTGGGCGTGGAGCCCACACCATGCTGAGGGTGAGAGCAGCTTCTTCTAGGAACTCATCAGCACTACCAGCCAGACTGGCTTTGGACACTGCTCACGACCCTGCAGCCACACCAGCCAAAATCCTGCTTCCCCACCCGCAGACCTGCAGACACTAGGACATCCACCTCCAAGGGTGAACAGCTCCCTGAG